CGCGACGCTGAGGCGATTCATTGAGTGTACTGTTCAAAGCGAAGAAGCGGACCCCAGTGTGGTTGTGCGAAATGTTCGGCAATTCATCAACGGCATCAAGAATTACCTTGTCAAGCATGGAGAAGGTTAGCACCCTCCTGTTTTTGAGCAGCTTCATCTCCTCTTGCGCACTTTTTAGGGAGTAAAGACGGGCCCATATGCTGAATAACTGAATTGTTTTGCGAATTTTGGCACCTACCTGCTGTCACAACTTCCACTGACTCCCACTGGTGCTTGTTCTTCTGAATGGAAATCCTTAGCGCACATAATTGATATCCATTCCCATGCATGTGCGGCGGGAACCGAAATGTTCGAACAAAAGAACCCACACTCAAGAGCCCCACTTATCCAAGAAGGTCTGGGAGCCATTTGCATCTTTTGTCCTCTACGTACAGGGTGCTTATATATGAGTAACTTTTTACCTTGGCTGGTTGTAGTGCGTGGAGCATGTGATCACCATAGATTCTCTCGCGCATAGCCAAGTTAACTCGCGTAGTTAACCAGCAAGGACGGTTCGGCTTGGTGGGGGTCCTGAATGGTGCACAGTGAAGCTTGTACAGGTCACCTTGTAGTAATATGATTTCGTGGGATCAAAGGGGCTTCAACGAAGGGGCTTACAGGCCTGAACAAAATGATACATGTTAGTCAACATGAACTAATGAGGAAACTAGCGAAAATACAAAGTGCCCCATCTGAGTCGAACAGTAACTAACTAACTGTCACTGTACGTTCAAACCGTGTGGCCTACCATGGTCTGAAACAGTGCAGTTCAGTTCAGCATCCAGAAATGCTCTAAAAATGGCGGCAAGGGAGGCGTAGATGAAGCTGAGGTGAAATTAAGGGGGGTCGCATTTGAGGTAGGAAGTTGTGCTCAGCGACCGCTTTTACTTCACTTCATTAGCCTGCTCTAGTCCTGCGAGTGCATTTCCTTATGCTGGCAATTCACAAGTGATCTTCTACGGTCTTATCGAGTCAGTAATATGTCACATCATGACTCATACTGCGAAATCAGTATCCTACAATAATCCTACGCCTAATAACGCTTAGAAGGACTGCTAATGCACCAACTACTGAGCCCAGTTGAGTTAAACTTCTCTCATGCATTGCTTTGTAGGACTAGTATCGAAGCATATGTGTGAAGGTGTCGTTGCAATTTTACAATTGGCCTGAAAAGGAAAAGTGTTTTTTAAAGAGCCAGTGAAACGCTAGTTTATCATGTTGATGGAGTGAAGGACATTCAAGGGCAGGTGTTTACAAGCTTGTCTGCTAACATGCGCCCTACGTAACGGGACCTGAGCCTAGCAGTGAACTACTGGCGCTTTGCTTGAATGCGAGTTGATTCAGGTTGTAGTTCGAGTGCCTGCTCCGAGTTACTCTGAGATCGTACAATCGGTGAGATTCGGCAATACGTAAACTAATAAACGAGGAAATCGTTTCAGACAAAACCTCTATAACTCCTATTCAGCCTAGTAAGTTAGTGCATTAATTCATGTAATGTGTAATGACTAGGAATTGAAATATATTATTATTGAATCTACGACATTTTCTCCCTAAGCTACCATTTCACTCGGTCTTGATATTCGGGAAGAACACAGAAACGTTTTACGACTTCGTAGCCCACCATGACTACACACGAGTATATAGAGTTGCTGATTAACCTGAAAAAGGGTACTCTTATTAATTTAAGAAAAAGCCTTCGCCGCTGATCGGTCCCTTTTTGGGATGTGCCACGCATGCTACTTCCATTCAGAATTGTAGTGGCTTATTGAATGCGACGGGGGGGGGACGATGGCAGAAGGCTTTATCGGCCCTGGCAGGAGCCGATCTGAGTTTTGACCCCTGGATCGCGCTTGTGGTGGATGTTCCACCTGCTACTATACCGTCTCGGATCAATCGACTCCAAAACATGAGAGAAAATGGAAAAAAAACTCGTCTTGAAACCAGCAATTCGAAATTGACCAACAATATTGGCTGCAAAACGTGATCCGAAATTTTCAGAACCATTTGGTAAAAGCTAACTCTCCTCAACCGTGAGAATTTAGGAATACCACCGTCGCACTGTCTTGTCAGATCCCTTGTCTTCCCAGATGAATGAAAACAGAAAAAAACCAATGACCTGACTGCAACATAGTGCTTCGTACTAACCTAGGAGCCAAACCTTTAGTGAACATGTATTGTCTTTCGTTCCTGAGGATTCTTGCCAAGGTCTCTGCATAATCGCTGCGATGTACCTGAGAATTATTAAAAACCAATCAAGAACAAAACTTAGGGCGATAATAATAACACGGCTTCTGCAGTAAACATTGAGTGCTGTAAGTGAAAGATGAAGGAAATCTGAAAAACGTACTTGAAGCCTGATGCGAAACATTTCCATCGGGTTCGTACATATTGTCGAACAGGCCCCTCCGATTGTAGCTGCAGCAGCTTGATCCAAAATCAGAGGACCTTGGCCTTCCTTAGCTGATTGACGTCGCAGCTTAAATTCGCCTTTCAACGGAACAAAACAAACGGAATTGTTTGTTTCCAGATGTAGTATAAAAACGAAATGCTCCACAAGAACCCCATGCTAAAATGGGCTTGGACTATGCTGGTCCGAAGCGATTTCTCACTTTGGTACATTTATCAACTCACTCTCCTCATTCGAAATGAAGAGTAGAAGCGGAGCAACACACCACGAGGTAACAGTTATAAGATGAAAGTTGGGCGTTGCCGTGGACAGCGAGTGGAGGGGAGACGGGCAAGAGAATCGTAAATTGCCGCTTCGTCGCGCGCGGCAATGGGCGCGACGTTTTCCTTAATTTGCACACCCTTCGACTGGAGCATCGGATTTCATGTAAACAAGGACATGGTAGACACTTATGTCTACTTTGGTCATACATTGTCTATTCTCGACCAATACCACCTAAAATCGTCGTCATTAGCAGGCCACTGGCGCGGCGAATTACGATTCTCTTGCCACATAACCGGGAGCGCAACCGTAGCTTCGTCGCGAGCGGGTCACGCTTCGCTCACGTATTTTTGAGCCGTAAATTTAGTATATCCTCCATGCTTGTGGACAAGACTACAGTGTCCAAAGAAGGGGTCTACACATCAAATAAACGCGGAGCGTGCCTTCAAAGGCCGTACAGGACTTATAGAAAAGAAAGGTGCGGAACAAGCAAAAAAAGGAAAAATTCAGTAATGAGTAATCGTCTTACAAAATTGAAGAAGTCCTGACACCAGTAATATACAGGCCAGAAAACGAGACATGATGGCACATAGACGAGACTTGACGCCCAAAATCCACTAAAAGCACACGATCAACGATCACTAGACGTAAGAACCTTGAAAGAACCGTACCGATAGAATCCTTTCAGCCCATCAACTTTATATATTGCTCTTAGACAACGTAATCCCAGTGTTAGACGAGGGTTCTTTTCATTACGTAAGTACTCGATAACAGCCTTGTCGTTTCCTGAGATGAACTTATCGGCGTTGTAGTATACCATCATGAACTGGGATATGATATCGGTGGGCACAAAAATCACCTATAAAGGAGAACTCTCTACAATGAACCTTCGAAGTTCCACGAGACTTTAAAAAAATTTCCTAACGCGCTAATTCTGTATGGGTCCGCAGCCGAGAACGTTAGATTTGTTAGACTCTTGGGGGGGGGATGTTAATGGTTGGTAAGAGACTTTTAGCTCTCCGCACCAAGAAATCCACATACCCATAGAGTGAATCTATCTAGGCTTGGGCGAAAACCCCGTTCGCAGAACTAACTGCAGTTTAACATAAAGAAAAGCGAAGGAATGGCGTGAAAAGATTCTTTCATAGGACGCGTCGTGTTATGTCCCATCGATGACACGTCATCTCTGAGCGCGTCAACGACGACTTGAGCCTCACAAGAAGTAACGGCAACCA